AGTTCATTAATAGATGGTCAGCATGATGAGCCATTAGGAAAAAAAACAAATCAAAACCACAAAGACATTCCACTTCACATCTACTAGGCTGGCTATAACCAAAAAGGCACACGGGGCGAGGGTTGGAGAGGATGAGGAAGAACCGGGCCTGTCATACACCGGGATGTCAAATGGCACCGCTGTGTTCGGCAGCTCCTCAAAGTGCTCAGCACAGAATTACCCCATGACTTGGCAAACGCACTGCTTAGGTATATATCCGAGAGAAATGAAAACTATGTCCACACAAAAACTTACAGGGAATGCATGCGGCAGCATTATTCGTGCCAGTCAAAAAGTAGAAACAACAACAGTCAATCATACTTTATCAATTACACTTTATCAATTACACTTTATCAATCATACTTTATCAATTACACTTTGTCAAAAGTAAAACTTCTGTACTTCAAAGAACACCCTCAATTTTCACAACTTTAAAACCCTTGGACTGAGAAGCACTTGCCAGGCAGCACCTGCCCAGCTGGTGCCCACTCCTGCTGTTCCACATGGTGTGAGTGGTGTGGCCAGGTCTGGAAGGGCTTCACACAGCACCTTTCCTCTGTCTTGTCCCACGTGTGTCACTTACACACTTGCTGGCATACCTAGGTGCTTCTTCTCTGTGTGAGCAGAAGGTGTACTCATCGCCAGCAGAGCTTCCGTGAGTCGTGACCAACCAGACGAGGGACAGCCAGGACATAACTGGAGAATTGTTCATGGGCCATTTACAAACTCTGTGACCCAACTGACCATGAAGCAACTTAATTGTTTTTCTTTTTAACTAAAGAAATGTGTCCAGCTCCTTCGTGTCTTGGTCATTGTTATCGTCACCTTGTCATCGAGCTACTCTATTCATTGGACACAGGAAGCCTCTCACTGTGCCTGAATTTGGTGTAGGGGATTTCGGGGAAGTAAGGCTCCCTGAACTCCACATGCAACTTGATCAACCACCCTTCCCCCGACACTCCCGTCCCCTGACACTCCTGACACTCCTGTCCTCTCCATTCTTCCTCTCCCCAGCTTCCTCTCCACCTACTGCTTATTTATGTTGTGGGTGGCTGCTCTCTCCACTAGAAAGCAAGGTCCACAGGGGGGGGGCTGCAGGGGTTTGCCCTTTTGTTCCTTGCTGTAGCTGCAGCACTTGGACAGCGACTGGCACCAAGGAAGTGTCGATATTTATCTAAGGAATTTATACCAACAGCTCAGGTGCCTGGAGCCACTGGTCCTGCTGGGCTGCAGAGGGGAGTCCCTTAGCTTCATCATTTCCACCACATCCGAGGTACCCGAAGGCTCTACCACCCCCTGCCTTAGTTTTCTAATGTTAATGCTAATAACCGAGAGTGTAAGCAAAAGGAAGTTATCCAGTTCTCCATCAAGCCAAAAAGAAGGGTGTGGGTGGGAAGAGCTTAGAAATCCCAGGAGCTTCACGCAAGCAGCTTTCACCCAACCAGAGAAACCTGGGTGAGATGTGGGTCTGAGCACGGCGAGCAAGCAAGGCACAGGCCACCACAGCATGCTGGGACCCCGAAGTCACCAAGTCTAAAAACCAGGCCAGAACAAGGACGTCAATTCCAGGAGATCAGGGACATAATCTCTCTGCCCCACCCAGGCACAGTGATGTGCCAGAAAATGTGTCTCACGTGCAGAAATGAGACTCGGTCAGGAGAGGTTGTGCCATCAGCCAAATGGAAGTCACACGCCATTAGCAACGCACCCACATGTTCAAGGTTATTGGTGGTGAAAAGACCAAGTTGGAAATCAAACTTGGAGTGCCATCCCATTTTGTGTGTGTGTGTATATATATATATATAAGCAGGTGGAAGAACATATCAAAATGGGTACTTAGGTTAGGGATGGTTTTAACTTATTTTTATTTATCCATTTTTATCAACTCAGTGCACGTTTGTTACACCCATGATAAGATGAACTTCTGAACCACCTGCTCGGCATGCCAAGTATGTGTCTTGGTCCTCGGTCACTACCTGGCTGGAGCACTGAGCCTCTTGTTTAACCCCAGGACTCCTTGGAGCTTCAGCTGGCAGAATGCTGGGGGAGGAGCAGGAAGCTCCTCCCGCTTCCCACAGCACCTCTGCCTCTTAAGACTGTCTCCAGCTCACATGCAATGGGAGAACTCTGCTCTCAGAGGGGCAGTGCTCAAAGACAAGGTAAGCATGACAGCCAGGAGCAGAGAAGGAAGGTCTCAGGACCCGGAGGGACACGACCCAGCTTGGCTCACCTCACACACTGCCTTACTGCATACTTTGGCTTTGTTAAAGGGGTTGTTTTTAATGTTAGACCGAGACTCATAAACAAGGTCTGCAAGCGAGTCCAAGACAATTCAGCATCTCTCAAGGGGAAAAGGAGACTAGGATTTGACCGGCGAGGCGTTTCATTCAATTAGTGCTGCTTACTGAGTTACCATGAGACTGTTGAAATCCAGCTACCTGACCACACCACAGGGACTCTCTCACCTGTGTTAAGCAGTAATGACCCGTCAACTCCTTGACAGGACACATGGCAAAGAAGGTGGCAGTGATCGGAGCCGGGGTCAGTGGCCTGGTCTCGCTGAAGTGCTGTGTGGACGAGGGGCTGGAGCCCACTTGCTTTGAGAGGACAGAAGACATCGGAGGGCTGTGGAGGTTCAAGGTAAGTGAGGTTTCCTTGCATCTTGACTGGGCGATGCTGCTATTTCAGGGTGAATCATAGCTACTTGTGGCCCTCTGCAGGGATTTCAGGGCGACTTTGATCCAGTTCTCTTGTTACATACCTGAGTCCCAGGCTGGCATCTCTGCCCAGGTCAACACTAGGCTAGCCCAGGTGCCAACCCAGGCAGACATCCTTTGTATCCAGCCATCGTCTCGTGGCCCATATTTTTGTCATTCTCCTGTGTTCTAGTTAGGGACTATACTAAGGTTGGAGAACATCTTACAAAATAGCAGCAACAGGAATCTTTTCGAGGCACTATTTACTCCTTTTTCCATCACTGAGCCGAACGCTTCTTCAGAAAATGTGCCCCATCACTTCTGATATTCTCTCCCACAAATAACCACGTTTGTTTCTCCAAACTACAGATTATGTGGTAGTATAACTGCTATGAAACTCTTCATTAAATATTTGTATTATTTCAATTTTTGCTATTCACCAAGTGCCAATAGTGACACTGCTAGCCATCCTTAAGGATTTGTATTGAAATCAGAAAGGCACATGAAGTTTCATAATTATTCCTTCCCACAAGCTTTCAAAAGGTACTGACTTGCCACTTCCTTGCTGTGAGATCTTGGGCAAGTGACTGACATCCCTGTGCCTCAGTTTACATGGTCCCATTGGGGATAATATCAGAGACGTGGAATTATCTCACAGTGCTGCTTTGGGGATGAGGGGAGATCATTTACATAAAGAACTTAGAACAGTTCCCGACTCCCCACAGAGTTCTCTGTTAGCTACTAACAGTGTCTACATACTTTATGGACTAGCAAGTGGAGAAGGAGGGAGGTTGAGTAGCTGGCCATGGCCACGCAGGTCGAGGTGTCACATTCAATCTCAGGGAGCTGAGCACCTACTTATCACTATGCCCTAACTTGTGTTCTTGCTCAAAAAGTTTAAACCAAAATTCGAGTTCATAACTCAGGAGATGCAACCTAAGGGTTATGTATTAGGTGTATCTAACTGAGGTATCGAGATACATGAGAACATTCCAGACAGGAGCAAAATGTTCAAATCTATGCAGAGGGGATGTAACCATGTCAGCAGTGGCCATCCAGAGTGCTCTTCCTTCAGGCTGAGCAACTAGGGGTATGGCAAGGTCACCCGGAATATGTGCTTTGCCGATTCAACACTCATTCCAAAGGAATGTTTCTAACATTAGACTTCTCGAATGTAATCTGACCTGAGAAACACCTGTGTGGGTTCTTAAAGACACTGATTACCGGACCTTCAGAATCAGAGTCTCCTGGGGGGTTTTAATAAGATTTCCAGTGAATCTTGTGATGAGACAAGTCTGGCAAGCACTGCACAATATCAAGCGGGAAATATTGCTCTCAAGCACTCTCGGAGTCAGAGATCGATCCTCACATGAGACACATGGCTTTGTAGAGAGGAAAGCTGGAAAACCAGCTTGAATCACATTCATTTCTTACAAACTGGCCGTTAGTCTATTATAGCTGGTCCTGAGAGGGTGATATAAAATGCTGGTCATTTCTGTTGTGATTAAAGACATACTACCTCTCTGCAGGGGAAACAGTAATCAAAACTTCACAGGCTGTACCCCGGGCCCTCCTCGCAAGGATCTTTCCGGAGACTGACTGCCAAGGGGGCCACTTGGCCACTGGCAAGCCCCCTGCTCACAGGGAAATGCCTCTTCACAACTCTACCACCCCAAACCTTTTCTGTTTCCCATTTACTTACTGATGCATTACAATTCCACATCATGGCACCCGTCGTTACACATTTGTGCTGCACACAATATAATCTATCCCTTTTGTTCCCCGCCACCTCCCCTTTCCCTCCTCTTCCCTCCCTTTAGACCTCTACCCCATTCTACTATCTCCCTTCTATTTTCATGAGATCCCTCCACACCCAAAATTGGTTTATAAATGAGTTTTTCATTAATTTCTCTGATTACACACAATCCTTTGGAGATCACTTAAAACATGTAGTGATGACAGTTTTAAAAAAAAAAATGTAAAATCCTTGTCCCAAGCCCAGCTTTGGTGCTGAATTCTAGGAGAAGTTTCTCCAGCGCCCCCTAGTGCCATCTTGGGAGGGCAGGCAGGGCGGAGATCATGCTCTAGCTCTTTTCCCAGCACAGAAGCACTCAGCATGCATCTCTCTTCACTATGCCCATGGGAAGGGGGTCTTGGGATTGCCTTCACTGATATGTGAACCAGAAATTCAGGATGCAGATAAATAACACGCAGGGGAACATAATAGATGCAAAAGAACGCAAACGAAGGTCTGAGCCTTTGCATTTAACAACCTCACTGAGGTACGGAGAGAGCCATTAGCCTTCTCTGCCTATGCCCAATGCCTTGTAGTCATGGGGAGGTAACCAATGCACCCGGCTTTCCTGTTACACACAGGCCTCCCCTCTCCCAGGGCATGTGCCCAGCTATTTCAATTAATTTTCACATAACAATCTCTAGATGCCTCCGTCTCTTTCCTCTAGAGTCGGTCTGAAATATCACTTTGTCTCTTAAAACATGACTCCACCAAGGTCTAATATTTCAAATAAATTTATTTTCTCCAAAGACATTTTTCAGGGTCAAAGAGATGCCGGGCATGCCTCAGACAGTAAAAAGTGAATCAGACACCAGCACGGTCCTCGGCACATTTGTGATCACCTGGCCTGACGTTGTACACAGCCCGCACAGCGGCCTCCACTAAGGCAGGTCAAGGTTCCTTGGCTTTGATGGCATTCAAGAAATGAAAGCTCACCTTGGTAGAATTATTTTCACATGCATTATCTCATTTTATACTTGCAATAACCTTTAACATTATCTATAACTATCAACCCCATTTAACCATAAGGAAGTCAAGGTGAAGAGTCTTGCCCATATGACTAAGCAGTGACAGTTCTCAGAAGAAGCCACAGAACTGAGAATACACACATGTGGTCCACCACGGCACTGCTTCTCTCATCACGTGACTCACGCTGATTTGGGGATCTGTTAAAACCTCAGGGTCTTGTCCATTTGAGCAACTGATGATCCAAGTCACTATTATCCTGTTCTTGAGTGGCTCATTGCTCTACCCTACTTAGAAGAATTCTCATTTGTGTGTATTAAACATTAGTTGGTTTGATCCTTGGTTGAGAAAAGTCTATCTGACATCAACCATCTGTCATCACTGTCTGCCTCCCTGCTCCGGGTCTTCACAACTTTGACGATCTGCGTTTGTGTCCGTGGAAGTTATTGATTAGAATGTAGATCATAGAAGGATAAAAATGAGAAGCAGTTACCTGGGCCAGCACCCGGTGGGACTTGCGACCTCAGTATGCACTCCACCTGCTTTCCTCCTCCTCAAAGCCTTTCCTGTTTTATTTGGCATGTGATTGTTAGCTGCATCTGTTCACTAAAGAGTATTGTCTTCTCTGGATGAGTTTAGAGCAAAGCGCCATTCCTTAATAGAAGACATAACGACAGCTGGCCCTCGTTTTTCTTGCAGAGGTTCTCCTAGATAAATTTATCACATCATAATTCACTACAACGGATTTTGGCACTCTGCTGCCCATTTGACAGAACCAAATTTAATATGTTAAATACGTATAACTCTCCAGGCAATCAAACGTGCAATATAATGATCCCATAGTTCTGTTTACCAGTGGTCTAAGATATAAGTTAATTTTTCCTAACATGTTTAAAGAACAATAGAATAGAATAAAATTTATAGTACACTATAAATAAATAATGTTTTATAACAGAACAAAGTTTATAGTGTACTATCAGCAAATAGTGAATGCCTATTTTTCTTATTGTTAAGTCCTTTATGCAATGATAGAAAAGGCTCCTGGTTAGCATGACTCATTCAATAAATGTATTGACTGAAGCCTCCTATACTCCGGACTCATACCAAGTGCTAAAAATACAGAGGTGTACTGTCCTCGCTGTCAAGGAGCTTGTACCTCAGGAAGGAATACAAAAGAAAATCCCTTTCAGAGTGCAATTTTATAAGGGCTAACACGCTGACTGCTGTTGGAATCACAGAGCCTCACCCAGTGGGAAT